GCTGAGCAGGGAGAGGAGTGCTCTTCCTGCCATTCTAGCCCAGCTGGGTCTGACCAGAGGCTACCACATACCCATTTACTGCGTGTGACTATTAAACTCAGAGTGGGATGTAGCCAGGTACTGGCTGATGTATGTTCTTGCTGACCTGTGTTTTTTCCTTAGGGGCCAAAGCAGTATCCTTATAATAACCTGTACCTGGAACGAGGCGGCGATCCCACCAAAGAGCCTGAGCCTGTGGTTCACTACGAAATCTGAGGAGGCTTCATGGGCTTCGTGCCCACTAACTGACTTCCTCATTCCTAGAGATTGAACCTTAATGAAATCCCTGATTAAACAGTGCTGTGGTATCTGTGCCTCATTTCCCCAGGATTAGCCACTGCCTGAGGAACCTCTCTTTCTTCTGTCTGCTGTCGCCCCTCCCCTCCCCCAGAGATTGGAAGGATGGGAGGGTGCGGGGAGTTAAGCACAAGAAGATGTTAATTTGTCGTCGCTGGGACTGTGAAAGTAGTGAGGGTTTCATTTGTACAGCAGGTGCTAAGGGTAGCTTCTTCTTTACAGGGTTGAGGAAGAAGGACATTCCTAACTTCCCAAGTTGGAACAAGAATTATGACCCATTAAAAGACCTTTTTCATAATAATGGTTAGCTAACAAAAAAATGGCATTCTAACATGTTGTAAGTATATTATAGGACAAATAGGTACTGTTTTTGGACTGGCCTAGGGCTGTGACTGCCTCTTAATTTTACTTCTGTTATATAAATATGTATGTCTCATTCCAAAGCAACTTCTGAATCCTAGCTTATAAGCTAGCATTACCTATATTTATGAATTAGAGGACAGTTCAGTGAGTTACTACTGAACCTATGGCTTTTGTTGTTTTAATAATTCATCCAAGCGCCTATATAGCCTTAGAGGGAAACCATGTTTTTGAGAGTCTCAGTGTATCTATTTTTAAGTGAACCAACTTATGTTCTTTTCTTCCTTTGGAGACATTTTCTTAAATTAAAAACCATGTTTTTGAGAGTCTATCTCAATGTATCTATTTTTAAGTGAACCAACTCATGTTCTTTTCTTCCTTTGGAGACATTTTCTTAAATTACAATAATATTGCCGAAAATCTGACCCATTGAAAAGCATACATTCAACAGACCTATAGAAGCAAGTCTATTCAAGTTTAAAAAGGGGTCCTTTAATGGTTGTCCAGGCAATGAAAGACTTTTATGAGATCAGGGAGTACTTCTCATGAAATGCCTTTCTTTGAAAATCTCCACTGTCTTTTTCTGTCTTCATTCTCTGTCCTTTAGAGCAGTGGTCACCAACCTTTTGGACCTCACGGACCACCAGTGGTCTGTGGACCACCGGTTGGCAACCGCTGCTTTAGAGCATTGCTTATCATTTAATATCTGTGTGCCTCATATATAACAGACACTGATAGGCCCTGGGGATATAAAGTTAAAACAAGACAAAATAATTTGCTTTAAGTAGTTACCTAGAAGAGGAGACACAGTTAAAGTGAAAAGAATTAGGGAAGAATACACTTAAAAAAAATCCTGCTTGACACTGATCTTATGCCTTTGGTTCAGATTTCTTTCAGAGAACTTAATCAGTAACATTTCTGCCTCATTCCCCAATTTGAGGTATTGCCTGTGGTTCAGTTATCAATCCTGTTACTTTTCTCAGGTCTCATCCACTGTTGTGGTGCTAAATTCAAGAAATAGTACAAGGAATGGGCAGGCACAGACAATGCCCTAAATTGTCTTCTGTCCTGAATTGGAAACTTCCAAGTCCACATGAAAGGAAATCTAGGATTGTGTCACAATGACTTGGGGGCTGTCATAAGATAACCCGGTCACCATCTTTGGAGGCTATCAAGCAGGAATACAGTGGGATTTATGCATTAAATGGAAGTTTTTTGTTTTTTTAAAGCTTTTGTCTTTTTAAAAAAATATATTTTATTGATTTTTTACAGAGAGGAGGGGAGAGAGAGAGTTAGAAACATCAATGACAGAGAAACATCGATCAGCTGCCTCCTGTACACTCCCTACTGGGGATGTGCCCGCAACCAAGGTACATGCCCTTGACCGGAATCGAACCCGGGACCCCTCAGTCCGCAGGCTGACTCTCTATCCACTGAGCCAAACCAGTTAGGGCTTAAATCAGCGGTTCTCAACCTGTGGGTCTCGACCCCTTTGGCGGTCGAACGACCCTTTCACAGGGGTCGCCTAAGACCATCCTGCATATCAGATATTTACATTACGATTCATAACAGTAGTAACATTACAGTTATGAAGTAGCAACGAAAATAATTTTATGGTTGGGTCACAACATGAGGAACTGTATTTAAAGGGCCAGAAGGTTGAGAACCACTGGCTTAAATGGAAGTTTTTAATCAAATAATTTTAGATCTAAGATTTTCAGCTGCCTACAGGACATTTTTATTTGGAAATGCCATAATTCCCTCAATGAGCATAAGAAATATATGATCTTTTCATCTCCAACTCCTTTATCAGTCACAAAAGCCTGTCCAATTTTGCTTTACAGACATTGCCACAGTATTAATCCAGGCTTTCATCACCTGATACCTAGGTCCTATTAGTCTCCTAATTTGAGTCCATGCCTCCAGCCCTCTCTTCTACCTCCCTGAGTGGATCCATATTGCTAGTCTCAAAATACAATCTATATCTTATTGCATCCCTACCCATAATTTTCAATAACTCCCTATTATCTGAGTTGAATTGGTATTTCTCAGTCTGAAACCAGCCTACTCCCCCGACTTCTAGCTTCTTTCATCCTTGCTGAGACATTACCTATGGGGCAACTCCACGGTATACGCCTGTTTCATGTCCCGGAAAGCTTCCCGGAAAGGAAGCCCCTGGTTTACAGTACCTTGCTCTCTGCACACCTACAGCCTTGATCAACCAATAGTTTTGGGCACCAGTTGCTGGGCTGCGTGTGTCACAGCTAATTATGGCCTCGATTGCTTTTTGCCTTTTCAACTAGGTTCTACTGAGGCCGTCTTCTCGACTTAAGTAGGTAATGAATTAAGTGTTTTCCCTTTTTAGAGGCTGGCTCCAGGCCTAGCTCAAATTGAATATCAGAATTTCCTGGTGGTCGGATCTGACCCCCTGTGGCAGTACTGGGCAATCAGGACAGGTGAGGGAGGCCCATTAAAAGCTATCGTCCTATTACATCCTCTCGGTGGGTCGGCCGGCCCGGTTCTCAGCTCCCCGCTTCGCGGCGCTCATGGGCTGCGTGCCCCGCGGCCATGACTATTGGCCCTTCACAGCCGCCGTCCGCAGCCCGAAGCCCTTCAGGAGACCGGT